CTGGATACTCTACCATAAAAATCTATCTACTCATCCATTCCTGGTATCATTCTTAATATCTTGAACTCCAGGAAGATGTTCGTAGAGTGTCCAAGCACTTAGGAATAATTTTTTTCTCAAGGGTAGCAATTGTCAAAGCCCCTTACATAAAGGAGAACTTCTAAAAGTACAGTATGAGAGGATCATGTTAATCAGTATTTTTCATTCATGGCAATAAAATACAGCAGTTAAAAACCCAATCAAGAATTACTTTGGATGTATCCACACACTTCTGGCCTTTGATTTCAGTTAGGAACAAAGAAAAAATATGGATGGAGTGTTACATTAATATAAGCTAAGGCAGTGTCTCAACTTTGGCCATTTTGAAGAGAGGTGAACTTCAACTCCCAGAATTCCTCAGCCAACATGCTTCTTAAAATGGCTAAATAGCTTGAGAAGTACTGTGGGCTAAGGTAAGGGGAAAAAACTGAGAATGGGGTGGGTTCAGGTTTGAAATCCAGCAGGTTCTGACAGATTCTGGAGAACTGATAATGGAAATTTTGAGTAGTTTGGAGAACTGGCAAATACCACTTCTGGCTGGCCCCAGATTGGGGTGGGAATGGGGATTTTGCAATATCCTTCCCCTGGCACGCCCACTAAGCCACGTGCACAGAACTGGTAGTAAAAAAAAATTGAATTTCATTACTGGGTTGGCTCCAATAGAGCTGCTGCCCTAGATGTCTTGGAAGACCCAAATGGTCCCTACTTAAAAGTCGGGAAAATGTTTGTGTGGGAAATATAAGAGATACTCTGGGGGAAATTGGAAATGTAGTCCTTTGGCAAGTGGGGGGGGGGGTTGAGTGATGCTGGTAAGATTCCAGTTCCGATCCTAATCCCTGCTACATTGCTAAAATTCCACTTTGCTGCCACATGCAGTGTTTCATTATTTGCGGCAGCCTGTCTCCTCAGTTAAAAGCCAGGAAATAGTTTATGCTTTCAGCTAAAGATACATTTGATAACTGTAATGACCAATGACAAGCTGGTTTCCAATTGCAGCTAAAAGAAAAAAAGAAAGGAACCTTAGCCATGACTGGGCATGTAGAATGTCAGACTACGTCAGACCATACGATGTTAGTTCAGTATTCCTGTGGCACCCACAATATTGTGCACCCATTTCTTTACTCATTCAAAAGGCCAGCACATTTGTACATCAGTGGATAAATGGATGTGTTTCATTTCTGCACTTAATTCTCCTCTCTGGTGGGGTTTATATTATGGAGCAAATTGCTGATGGCATTCAAGCAGACTCTTTGCTCAATAAAGGTTGGGGAGTGTGCGTGTGTATGTGTGTGTGTGTACGCGTGTGTGCATGAAAGGAGTCTTTTTCCACCATATAAAAAATATATGCCGAGATTCTAAAATAAGTGCAGAGAAGAGCAACAAAGATGATTAGGGGACTGGAGGCTAAAACATATGAAGAACGGTTGCAGGAACTGGGTATGTCTAGTTTAATGAAAAGAAGGACTAGGGAGACATGATTAGCGGTGATCCAATATTTGAGGGTCTACCACAAAGAAGAGGGAGTCAAGCTATTCTCCAAAGCACCTGAGGGTAGAACAAGAGGCAATGGATGGAAACTAATCAAGGAGAGAACCAACCTAGAACTGAAAAATTTCCCGACAGAGCAATTAATCAGTGGAACGGCTGGCCTCCAGAAGTTGTGTTTTGTAAGTCCCTTGGAGTCATTGGTTGTGAGAGACCATAAAACTACAAAATAGACATCTAAAATGAATCTACTAGGAGAGGGGGTCCTTGGTTGCTCTCTGCGCTTGCAGTTTTCTTGCAGACATTTAATTACCTGTTTTACTCTTAGCTTTTTTGCCTGAATTGATAATTATTTGATCAGGGAAAACCACAGCCTAATCAGAAACCACCAAGATCGCTCTCACCAACACTGACAGGGAAAGCCACTTGTATATAAACAGGGACCAAACCTCGCTCCCTTCTAGCACTGATGATGTTACTTATTTGGGTAATGAAACATCTGCTAGAAAACCACCAAGCTCAGAGAGCACCAAAGACTCCACACTGTGAACTGCTGGGGTGTGTGTGTGTGTGTCTTAATCTACTTCCTGCTTACCAGTCATTCCAGGCTCTGCTGCCTCTTTGTCCACTGGGGAGCAGCCCCTCCCTCCTGGGACTACCTTCCGCTACAGATTGCAACGATAGAGTGAAGATGTCATTTGATTATGTGATTCCAGAAAAGCATCCTGCTTTTATCTGAGGCAAAGCCAATATTTGCCCAAGCATCCTACTTACTGGAAGAGAGTCTGTATATACAGTTGCATTAATCAGGATGGTGAAATGAAAAGAATTGGAGAGCAGGAACCAAAATTCGCTTCTCCAGGTGGTAGAAAATATCAAGGAGACTCCACTGATTCATATTTTCCTCTTGGTTGAAAGAGAATGAGAAAGCATGGAAATTTATAATGTCCTGGAACTATCAGTTTGAACAAGAATTACAGGGTATTTACCTTGAAGCTTCTCTTGACCTCTAAGGCTTGATTTGACATGTATTTTGGCCACTAGTTGATGTATCTCGGTCAAAGCAACTGAATACATAGCTTGAAAAGAAGTTGGCAAAATGATATTATCCAACATTAGGAGTGTTGAAAACTGATTGGATATATATTATACAATATATATGATCTATAATCAAATTATTTTTAAAGATGAGTAATGGCTTAGCTTGTCTGTTTTTGAAAATGAATTCTAATTTATATTTTTTTTTAAAAAAATGCTTTATTGAGGTAATTTTATTTAAATTATTAATATTTTTTATTCACTTATTTAAAATATTCTGGGCTTCTCTGGGCGCATGAGTGGTATAGAAACATCTAACATTAAAAATTATACTGTTTTATTCTGGTGAGCATGCTTATTTCTGTATTATTGAAGAGTTCAAATTTGAATGGTTAACACATTCATTATAGCTTTATTTATGAGAGCTATTTTAAGTGGAAAGATAGCAAGAGAAATGAATACATTCCATTCCTATCTAATAGAATTTCCCAATGAAATAAACACTAGTAGATTCAGATACTGTTCAGATAGCTATATTCCTGTTTCATGCTATATGGATTTTAAAAAAATGGTGATTAGCTTGATAGGATAGGATAGGATAGGATAGGATAGGACAGAATAGAATAGAATAGAATAGAATAGAATAGAATAGAATAGAATAGAATAGAATAGAATAGAATAGAATAGAATAGAATTCTTTATTGGCCAAGTGTGATTGGACACATAAGGAATTTGTCTTTGATGCATATGCTCTCAGTGTACATAAAAAGACAAGATACACCTCGATTCATACTGGCTCAGGAATTCTGGGAGTTGAAGTCCACAAGTCATAAAATGGCCATCCCTGACTGTTGTGGTCTGCAGGCAGCCTGCGGAGCTTGCAGCAGAGTTGGACAGTGAGGAGGTTGGGGGGGAACATGGGCCAATCCTTGAGTCTGGGGAATGCTCAGACGAGGGCTCTGCATCGGAGGCAGAGAGGGGGCCAGAGCCATCTGGGAGTTATGTGCTGCCTCCGGAGCCTGCAGTCAGACAGAAGTGAGGCAGAGAAACAGGCTCCCCCTGTTCCCAGTGCGCATATGCGCAGAGCTGCCAGAAGGCAAGAACAGCTAAAACAGAAGGGACGACTCGGGAGCAAGGTTTGGGGGTGATTGGCCCCTCCCACAGGACATAAAGGAGGAGCAAAGAGACATGAGGATTTGCAGGAAGCAACTTGGTTCATGCTGGTCAGTCTACCTTCTGAAAATACGTTTGGACTCTTTGCTCCATGTGGTCTTGCCAAGCTAATTGCCAATTAAGTCTTCAGCAGTGTTTTCAAAGAAGATAAAAGTGGGTGCTTATCCCGAAGGACTTTGGCAGTCTGCTGTAGGACTCTTTACTACTATTTGGAACTCATTACTGACTGTGAATGAATATAATTCACAGCCTTTGAAACAAAAAGAGGGTTTGTGAATTTTACTCTATCAGGAAGCCTAGATCAAAACGCTGACCTATACCGTAGCAATTGAATTCAGACATCATGCTAAGCTGGAAGCAATGAACCATGTCGTGCAAAGCTGTAAAGCATGAAACATTTATGGAATTTGAGGCTGAGAGTTGCTATCCCGGCTGTGATCAGCCATTCAGAAATGATGCAATTCTGATTTGTTAAATCAGAGTTCTCATCCTGGATGATCTCAGATTGAGGAAATCTAGCATACATTTTAAAACAGATGTTGATTTTGAGGGAGAAGCTTATCATCAGTTCCTGATGGCTGATGGCTCTGTCGTCATTTTCTCCAACCTGATGCCCTCTGACCATGGCCTTTGGGGAGATTGAGTCCCAAGATTTATGGTAGAGAAGGCTAACCTGTGTTGTTAGTACAGGTAGTCCTCGACTTACAACTGTTGTTTAGTCACCCTTCCAAGTTACAATGGAAAAAGTGACTTATGGCCATTTTTTGCAGTTATGACCTTGGCAGCCTCCCCATGACCATGGGCTCAAAATTCAAATACTTGGCAACTGGTTCATATTTATGACCGTTGCTGTGTCCCAAGGTCATATAACTCTTTTGTGAGCTTCTGACAAGCAAAGACAATGAGGAAGCCAAGTTCACTTAACAACTGGCTTACTAACTTACCAACTACATCGATTCACTTAACAACTGTAGCAAGAAAATGGGGCAAAACTCACTTAACAAGTGTCTCACTTAACAACAGAAGTTTTGGGCTCAATTGTTGTTGTAAGTCGAGGTCTACCTGAATCAAATTGAGGAGCATTTTGCATTCACTCCACTGGGCTTTTCTTAACACTACTTTCTTTATCTTTATAGGGTTTGCTTCTTTGATCTCTTTTATACACTTTCTAAAAGGCCCACAACATTTGTCAACCTGGCGTGAGCTTCTCAGCACCATACCTTACCCCCATCATGCATCCGTTGCTGACGGTCATGCTCTATGCATCCCTTGAAGCCTTGGCTGGGCAGACGCCCTTAGCTGTATTTCAGGCACCACATTATACAAACCAGAGTTGGGGACTGCCTAGCCTCCTAGCCCACCTGAAGCGCTTGACATCATCAAACTCTAACTCAACCATGAGCACAAGTAGCAGAGTCTGGCCCTCTGAAACATGCCAAGGCTACTATGACGTCATGGGGCAATACGATGA